TTTTTTTTTTTTTTTTTTTTTAATAATATCATTCAACGACTTAATTATATTTATTGTATTAATTAATGTAATCGAATTTATTGTTAATTTTAAAATATACAATTATATATACATATAAATAATTAATTTTAATTCAATTTCATAATTTTTTTTAATTATTGATTCTCGATGACTTGTAAACGTAATTTTAATAAGGTAATTTTTTTAAAATAAGTTTATTAATTAATAAGAGTTGTTTAGGTTTACACAATTAGGTTGAGTTTCAAAAATGTTGAATTGGACCCAATCCTGCCTACATAAATTCATCTGTGTAAACACAAAATGCATGTTTGTGTATGTACGTCATCCAAAACAACAACAATGATCGATACGACGCTTGTTTAGATTTTTATGAGACAACTCATTCTTACCCGTCTAGCCAAACAATCACACGAGTGGAAAGGTCACTAAATATGAATCATGACTTACGTACATAGTTCCTTAAACAAAGTATGAGTTAGAAAGCACTATATGTTCAAATATTAGATTTTTTCAATATCAATCTCGCTATCGTGGTCTGTTCAAATACTAGATTTTGAAATTTCATAATTGAGATTCTAAGTATTAAAATTTTAGGTCGAGAGACCACAAATAGTATTTGAATTAAAATTGTATCAAATTATTGGGAGTGGAATGTGAGGGAAAATGGGTATCATACTTTTCTCTTTGTAATTTAGTTTTAAGACTTTTCTCGTCTTAGTTATAGTTCTCTAGGTTTTGGAGGCAGCAATCTCGGTCGCGAAACTTTGTGCTAGAATCTCATTTTGTTAAACCAAGGCTGCCCTAATTTTCGTCGGTTGTTCTTCCACTGTCTGTATGACGGAAGAGACGTTGAGATGAATCAGTTGTAGTCATTGTAGGGAACTCCTCCTCTCCTAGCCCACGTTGTTCAGGGAATGAGTTAGCTTCCGCTTCAGAAGATTTTCACATAGACCTCAGTGAGGAGATGAGTCCTTTTCTAACGGGGTTGGACTCCGACTCCTTTCTTTGGAGGAATTTGTGATATGATCCAACGATGGTTGGATCACTTTCTTCTTTGTTGTAGTAGATTTTAGTAAAAAGATTTTGACGGTTTTGACAATTTAGAGTAATGATTCGCATTTTAGACTTGAACCCGTGTTTATGGTGACCATAAAAAATGGTTTGAAATAGGTTTTTTTTTTTTTTGGGGTGTGTGTATTGTATGGTGGAGATGACATGTCCACATTGGGCTAATTGAATGGCTCCCATAGCTTAGGGCTTCCTTAGTGCTATTGTATGAATGTGACCATTTTTCAAAGATGGCCTCATCATCATCCATGTACATACACATACACATCAATTACATACACACGAGCGAGAGAGATGAGAGTCTTTTAAAATAGGATTCTCAATTTTCGTTCGATCGAAAATTAATTTTACGATATTGACATTTATGCCCTTCTCTCTATGCTCTGTAATAACGATTCCCTTAACATTACGATTTTTACCACAATGATGCTATCTATAGATCAAATTATTTCGTTGCTTGAATTTGACCTAACTGTCTACACTTTCATTGTAGGTGCTCGGAGTAGGAGTTTTAAGTGGTAGTCATAATTTCAACGACTGTTTGTGGTGAAAGGTGGAAATAGTACTGAAAGCGAGAGTTTCCACTCGATGAACTAGCATGGATGGAAGTGATTTAATTAGAACCAAAAAGTTCTATGGATCTCGATGTAACTCAAAAATACAAATATTGGTGGGTTCTATGAACATTGTTATGAATTAAATTATGATTTTTTCAAAAAAATAGGAATGAATATTTGTGATTCGTGTACTCGGGACACTATGAATGAAGACATAGTCTAGTTGGATCCCATTGAATTTTAGTCGTAGGAGGAACTTTATAAAGATTGTATCGATACGACTGACAAGATTAGCATAAATGACAAAAAAAAAAAAAAAAAAAAAAAAAAAAAAAAAAAAAAAAAAAAAAAAAAAAAAAAAAAAAAAAAA